AGTAAGGTCTTATCTTTTTATCTTTTCTTTTTACCTAAACTAAACTCAAATAACTATCGGACCGTTCACTTAAAGATCTGCCGGTTGTGGGTCACCGGATAAACCTCCGTAATGACTAAAGAAACATGTGTTTGATTTTTGTAAAAACTCCGTTAATAGTCGGATAAACCTCGGTGTATTTTCATTTTCTTAAAGAAAATGTTTTAACAAATCAATTTCCAAAAGAAACAGTTTGGTTGATGGTTCAGTCGGATGCGTCCAAACAACAAATATCTTCGAGTGAGTGATAGAGTCAAAGCTATTTAATTATTTTTTTTCTAACGTTTATTTGATGAGGAAGGCATTGAATTTTAAGTCTTTTTTTTTCTTATTTAGAATATCATAAATTCAAGTATTGTATGCTACCTAACGTTCAAACATTTCAACTGTAACGTCATTGCAATAATTTGTTTTATTTTATTAAAAACCAATATATTTTCTTCATGGCTCCGCTTCTAATTCAAACCAAAACTTTATAATAAAAAAATTAAGAAACTTCACACATTCCTTTACATTTTTAAGAATATGTTAATAGGCTAAGGTATATCTATATCCGGTTCAATTTTAATGTAACATTTTCATTTTAAATAGTGAGAACTAGTCAAAAAACTTTATATAAAACACAAATCTCACAAACTTCATATAGTTAAATTTTACTTGCGAGGTGTCAACAAATTGTAATGCTACAAACATTTTAAAAAAATTTGGTGATCACTACAGTTGATAAAATACGATCTATAGTGGATAATTTTATGTACTATTGAAAACCAATAAACCATAAAAGAATATATGAATTTTTTATAATGTTGAGGATTTATTATTAAGTTTGTATGTCGATATTTGTAGTCACGGTCACGGAGTGGGTTGGTCAATTAATGACGGAAAGCTACAAGTTACAACTAAAAGATTCTTATAGTGGATTTTTTTTGTTGGATATTTCTTTTAGTGGTAGTTACGATTACTTGTTTGAATGATAGTGTTTGCTTAAGTTAATTAGTCGCCAACTCTTGCTTAAAAGATGCTGATAAATAATCAACAAGCTTTGCAAGACAAAACAGATTCTTTTTTAGTAAGAAAGTGACAAACAAAAATACATTTACACATGAGATGGAACAGATTCATATTATTTATTTTTTGCTAAACCAAAAAAGAAGACGATATATTTGATTATGTATCCAATTCGATTTGTAATAAAACATGTGACAGATTTATCAATATGAATCATTTTTTAACAGCATAAAATAATATATGAACTCGGTCTCGGATCTAAAAACCACCTCATTCCTCGGTAATTTTAGTTTTATAATTGTCATTATTTCATTATCAGAGAATTCCAGATACCTTCCACCTAAATTATTTTATTTGTGGTTGTGAAATTCGAATTTGAAACTTAGAATACAGATACATTTTTTTGCAGTACAAACCTGATACTTTCGTAAGATCATAACTTTTATTTAAATACTACAATATCTAGATGGAAACCTAACCGGGAATAGTAAGAAAGGAACCCGATTCTCTTTTCTTTCTCTAAATTCGAATGAGATAAATCACGACGGCTGAAAACAAAAAATGAAAAAGAGAATTAAAGTGTTAGCAGGATCATGATATACTCATGGCGATATGTATACTCTTAAAAATATACAATTTGATTAGTATATAATGAGGATAATAATGTTAAGTGAACAAGTTGAAGAAAGTGGCTTGATGATGAAGATTGAAAAGCGTCTCTCTAGTTCACTCTTTTAAATTCGTTTTATTAATTGAGGATGGCTCTCTTTCTCCGCTTAAACCAAACCAAGTGGATGATCTGAACCAGAGAACCCTATTCGTTTTCTTGATATCTTCAATCTTTATCATGATTGTTTTTAATTATCTTTTCAACATACACACATGGAAAGTAGATATTGTTAAATATCTAGCATTAAGATGGATTAACACAGTTTGTAATTTGTATGTGTTCTTGTGGTTTAACGTAAACTCGGTCGGAGTTTAAAAGATTTTATTCTATTTGTATGAATATAATTTATTTTGGACTATTTCCATTGAATTTTAGTCTAATGATTTGACGACAATTTTGATATAAATTCCTTACGGAAGATTTGTTTTCCCACGAATCAAACATATGGTAGTTATGAAAAGAACAAAGTTTTTCTACTTTACTTTACCAATTTTTTTATTTAATTAAACAAACATTCATTTTACGAAGCTGGTGAAATCATGAGACAGTTTTCTCTAACAAAATCCATTACTTTTTTTATAAGTTAGGCAAAGTAATCAAAAAATTTCATATTGAGAAGAAAAGATAGCTTACACGGCTCATAAGATACATGCAGAAAACTTAGCAAAAAAAAAAAAAAAAGATACATGCAGAAACTTCTATGTGGTTTGTGGAGATATTATTTTCGAATTCTAGGTAAATCTTTTTAGTTATCATTTTCAAATCTCCACACGATTGTGTATATACTCATCATTTACGCACTAGATGTCCCCATGAATGTTCTTTTAACATTTTGATCCGTTACTATTTTACAATTAAAACAATTTTTTAAACAAGTTATTTTGTAAATAAGTTTAGCGGACCACTCTTAAAAAAGAAGCTAAATTCGCTAAATAATTATAAAGTTGTATTGATAATTTGATATTCTGTAAAGTGAAAATAACATTAAGCTTCAACATACTTACAGAATTGTGTTTTTCAAAAGTTGAACAATGACATTTTTAAGTCCAAATGAAAACGATTGAAGCATCTTGTTTTCCATGCTCATGTTTTCTTTCTTGTTTGGATTTTTATACACTTCTATTTTCATTTTGGAATTATTCATATAAATCATCCAAGTCAAAAAGTTTCAAAAGAACACATGAGAATGGTCCTACCAACTTTTTACCAATTTCTTTTTTCATTTGCTAAGTACAAACTTTTAACCAAATTCCTGTGTATATAAATCAGCAATCCACTCTCAGTTTCTCTTCACCCAC